GGGGCCCCCCCCGAGAAAAAAAAAGCGGTAAACGCAGAGCAGCCCCGTGGGCAGCGCCCAGCAGCATCTGTCCCCGCCGCCGCCTCACGAAAGGAGGCTCCGCCCGCGGCGCTGCTCCTGAGAGACCATTCGGCGGCGCGCGGAAAGCGGCGCTGCGCGTTGCCCTCTGATTGGGCGAGGCAGCCTCCTCCCGGCAAGCCCCGGCCAATGGGGAGCGGAGGGTGGGACGGCTGCGGCGGGAGGGGAGCACGTGTGCGCGGAGGGAAGGGCGGGCGGGGGCGGGGGACACACGCACGACATCGGCGCCGGCCCCACGGGCGTGTGAGGGACAGCTGGAAACGGGGCCCACCCTTGAGTTTGAGCGCTGCCTTCCTTACCTGAGCGGCCTAAGCGGGAGGCAGCACGTTTTCTGGGTTACGGTACGCGTTCAGAACGGACCGCGGGGAACAAGGCTGACAGCCCTCTTGCGTGGGCGCAGAAGGAAAACGCGCGGCGTGGCAGCGTTCCCGTCACTGCTGAGGTGTCGTGTGTCCCCCCGCCCCAAATTCCTCATCAACCCCTTCCCCCGAGGGGCGGGTACAAGCCTTTCCTGAAAACTATCTGGACCGGGAGATCGTGTACCTGCTGCGCTGCCCTTGTTCTTTCTCTCCCGGCCCAAACGCGTTCAGCTCCTGCCCTCTGCCACCGTTCTTCCCTTTAGCCAGGTAAGAGCTGGAACCGCTTCTGGGGTTTAATAAAAGCTGCACCTTGGTGCCCAGCTAGAAGAAATATTAGACAAGAGGGGAAAATAAAACTATTACATTCAAAGAAATTATCTAAAGCTTCACCCAGGACTACTATTCTTAAAGCTTTGCCAATCCTTCTCTAAACTATTTGCTGTTCTGCTACTCAATCTATCCCACGCTTTCTACCTCCCTGCTTTGCCTTTCCCTGTGCTCCACTCCCTTGATCTGTACCACATTGCTACTGCTGCTAGGGCTTCCTACTCTATACCTACAGTTCATTCTCCAGATTGGCTGATGCCATAGAAATTTCACACCGGGGGTCAGGCCTCCTACCTGGGCAATTGCTTATCCTGCCTCCAAGCTGGGGTCGATGCTCAAGGAAGCAAAATAAAAGCCCTCAGAAGGCATCTGGCTATACACAGCTGAGCGGGAAAGAACAGGTTCCTCACAGCCCCGGAACAGATTCCTTGAACTGCAGAATTTTATTACTATCTCCATCATCATAACTTCATAAACAGAGCTACAAAAGGTTTTAGGGCCATGAGATTACTCAGCCCTATGTAAAACACAGCTAAACATTTTGGTCCAGTATCATCTGGCATCAGTGGTTTGCTGCTTTCTGGCTATCTTCTGGGTCTAGCAAAATGTCCTTTCAGTTGTTCTCAGGCCGCTGCTCCTCAGCATCTCCTTATTCTCTTTTGGTTGCAGGTTTATTAGAAAAAAAGAAGAAAAAAAGATGACAGTTGCCATTTCAACACACTTTAGCTTGAAGCAAAACTCTAAATAGAAAGAATCAGCTCCCGTTAATACTGGCATCCATTTCAGCCATTTGCGAGGAACTGCTGATCTCTTAAAATAGCATGGTTAGAGCGAATGAGCTCTTAGCAGACCCTCTGTTGTGCTGGCATGTGGCTCAGTAGCAGGTAATAAAAGGATGCCTGCTAGCATGAGGTGTAGTGTATCTTACTGATCTGGGTCTGTGCTTCATGCCGAGCAGAAGTGGGAGGAAAGAGTAAAACCTTGGAGTTCCCATGGCGAGTCCTGCCTAGAGGCAGCAGTTCCCACAACTTCCAGGCTGCTCAAAGGATCTGATGGGTGGCCTCAGTCCTTTCCAAAACAGCAGTCCCTAGAGTTGTGCCACTGGAGGTCAACTGCTGTTTCCAGGGGATTGGCTGGGGTAGAAGGAGTTATGTCAGCTCAGCCCGTTTCCTTGAAGCGATACACAAGTCAGTCAGGCAACTTAGATCTCTCCTCCAAAAACCGTGTAAGAAAAAGAACCTGCAAAGTTTTAAGTACTCCAAGTTTTCTCAGGGTTTCTTTTGTTCTCAAAAGAACTCACCTTCTTTTGTTTTCACAGAATATTTTTAGCCTTTGGAAACAAGGTAAAATTTTATTCCCTGAGTTTTGACTTCTATCTTTCCCTCCCTAGCCTTCCTCCCCATTTTCTCTCTCTGTCTCATCACTCTACTAGAAAAAGTAAGGTAAGGTTAAAGGTGTTTGATAGTAAAGAAAAACCTCAAAACTTGCAATATTTTTTTCCAAGATGGAAGACATAAGCTGTGAAAAGTAGGGTTTCTCATACTTTCTTTCCTTAATCTTACCTGCTCCCTTCCTCTCTTAACAAGCAGACACCTTTTTCAGTGGAAAAAAAGAGTAATAGGAAGTTTAAAAATAAAGAAATAGGAATGGGGAAAAATTCCTACCCTTCAACTGTAATTTTTTAAATTCCAAAACCAAAATAACCTTACAATTTATGTTAGCGTTAAACAATGATTGGTTTCATCCCAAAGCAAAGTGTTTGTTCGTTTCTAGCTTCCCAGACAGGTGATGTGAAGAGTGTTTTGAAAATCACTACATTCCACACAGAATGAAACCATTTTCCAGAGAAAATCATTCTCATACCAGAAAGATTTGACCAATTTGAGTGATTGTTCGTATTCTGAACACTTCCAGATAAATAATATTATGTGGAAGTAGTTATAAAATCTTTCAAGACTCTAATACTCAGTGCAAGTCTGCCAGAGAGGTTCCACCTGCACACGTGTGATCTGAACCGAGTGGTAGTTGCAGCATGGATGCACTGTGTGTTGGCTGCCCTTTACAGACGCAACTCCGGTTTCTACATCTCCTGAACATTTCCCAGTGAATAACGTTTTATACAACGACATAGCTCATGCAGTAGTATTGGACAAAACCCTTCTGTGCTGGTTACTCGACCACTCAGAACTGCCTTCAGAGCGTCTGAGTTTCCTCAACGAAACTCTTTATCGGAAGCCTCACCTTCATAAAACTCAGGGCTGTTGTACACTAGAAGGCTCTCTTGCTGGCCAGGGGACATGCTGGTTGTGTTTTCCTGCTCCTCTGTTGCACAAGGGAAGCTTGAAACCTGTCTGTTCTTGCCCAGAACTAATTTTCAGATCAATCTCAGAAACTGCAGCTGGCACTTTGGAAGAAAAGGATCACACCAAGCACTTCAGCAGGGCACTGTTGCTGCTTTCCTTAGTGTAATGACTAAGAATCCCTTTTTGTCTGAATCTAGGGTGGAATCACCCCTAGAGGATGCATGATTCAGCATGAGATCCAAGCAACTCATCTAAATGCACACATCAGCCTCAGAGTCAACAACGTTTTAAGGTCACATCTTATGCACACCATAAACTCTGACAGGTTTCACTCAAAAATGCACCAGAGGTGTGTATTGTTAACCAGTTCTGGCCTGCAGTTAATTGTGGAGGAATTTATAAAATATATGTGCAAGAAGAGTTCTCTTAAAGCCTTGCCAAGTTGTTTGGAGAAAAGCTTCTGTAAGTTAAAAACTTTCTGCACTCTCATGAAGCCATTCTTCAGAGCGCTCCCTCAGTATGTGAGAGCACCAAGACGTTACAAATACCTCAGAAACTCTCCAGAAGGAGAGATTAAAACAGATTTATCTTTTGCTGAGCATGGAAGGAACAAAGGCACATAAATGGGAGAAAAGGCAGCAACTGATTTCTTTGTTTTGAAGATTTTGGCCATTATAATTAATTTGGGGGAAGTAGACTATTAACTAGTATATACGTTGGAATGAAACAAAAGTAGCGAGAACAAAAAAAGCCAAATTATTTCTGAAATGAAGCATGATTAGTTTAGAACAAAGCCTATAGATTGTAGCTATCTGTAAGAACAGAAGACTGGATACAGCCTGGAAGGTCTGTGTCTTCTAGTTTCCCCCCCACCAAGTGATCCTTTGATAATTTGGGGGCTCTGAACAGGAGACTTACAAATATTCTGCAGCCATGAAGGGTTAATTTAAAAGCTCTGGCATTGATTACTTTATTCAGACAGTATACCTTCATTTCTGTTACTTTCTATTCTCCAAGGGTTTGTTAGTTCCAGACTTTTAAGATGTCACATGTTGAGTAAATATGAGCCCAAATTCAAGAGGATAGCCCAGTCCTGCAAGCATAGAGCATGTGTTTCCTTGGCACCAAAACCAATGGAACACGGCAATTTCACTAGAGGGAATAATACAGTGTTTTCCCATATCAGGACCTCAAATAGTAAATTACTGTTTTTTAAAAAAGCCTTAAGAAAGACAACAGAATTGACTCAGCTTCTTGATCACTTCTTCTTAATTCCTTTAAAATTCTTTCCCCTCTTCGAAAGATAAAGATACTTAAATTCTGCTAGGATATGCTCTGAATGCCACAACTTTTTTGGAGTAATTCCAGAGCCATTCCAGCTTTTTGAGAGCAAGAAAACTCTCAGGGTTATGTTGTAATTTTGTATTTTAGAGAGGTGAAGGGAGGGTCAGCAGTCATTGTCATAAATATATTGCTATAATCGGATCAATTGTCCTTGCCCTGTAAGAAAAGGTCCCTGTAATGAACAGGTTAACTTTGTTCATGAAATCTCACATGGGGGTAGGGACATTCTTTGCTTATCTAAAACCACGAGTATACTCCAATTAAAAGGACTCTTATTAGATTGGAAACACGAATTAATACTGGTACCAAAAAAAAAAGGAAAAACGGGGGACTGTAATCGACAGGGAACCAAATTGTTCCCTGACATTGTGTAATTAGTGTTAAATTAAAAGAAGACAATAAGGCTTACATACCAATCGGGAAGGGGGAAGAGACATATTGAGATTTAGCAGATGCCTTGTGTAAATAACAAGGCCTGCTTAAATGGTGCGTAAAGGTCACGGGACAAGAACAACAGCTATAACTTACCAGATAAGGAGGGAAAAGACAACAGCTACAATTTACCAGATAAGGGGATTAATTCTGCCAAGACTGTACTTCTCCACATCAAAAGACATTCTACATCAAAAGACACTCATCCTTGAGAAGATCGACCGAATCTGCCTAGTAACAAACCTGCACGAGTGAAGAAAGAAGCAGCAGGACAAGGCGGAGACTTACAAGAAAGGGGTGCATGAACTGTATATAAGAAATGTAACTATAACATAAAGTTGCGAGCCATTGGTAGAGCGCGGACTCCCCGGCCGCCCAGCGCTGTTTTGCTCTCTTATCGCTTGCTAATAAATTCAATCTTTTTATTTAATACAAATTGGCTCCTCCAGTTTGTCACGAGCGTCTATAACAATCCCTTGCTAAAAGAATGCAACAGCTCTTCTCTGTAGCACAGACAGAGCGTCTTTTCTGCTTCTGTCTTGCTATACACAATCTGGAAGCCCAAGATGTTTTGGTACTCTAGTTCAACATAAATTCATCTTTTTAATTTTCTGAAACTTCACTGTTTTTACCTATAGTTCATGCCTTGATGTCCACACATTCCACCATGCACCTCCTCCAGCACTGCCTTCATCACCTCTAGTTCCATACATGCTAGATCTTGCATTCAGCAAGACCGGTAAACCAAATGTGTCCTGAAACCTGTGCATGGGGTGGAAAAAAAGCAGCACTGCAGTTTATTGGAACACAGCTGATAGAGAAGCCAGTGCAAAATCCAAGCTATTGTGACCTGCAGAAGCTTTAGAAGAAACCACAGCCATCTCTCAAGTACAGGAGGCAGGTTGCTATTGAAAGCCTCTGGCAGAGAACTTCCCTTATACCCTGCACACCACAGCAGGCTCTGTGTTGGACACAACACAGGCTGAAGCACACAGCTGTTGGAAATAAGGCATTTATGGCTGAATTTGTGGAATCACTTGCCACAGGATATCAGCTTATCTCTTGGTCTAAGATGGATCACATTGTACAGCACTATACACTTGCATCATGGACATAACATTTTAAAAACATTTTGCAGTCAGCTACATGGGAAAAAATGGAAAAGTCACTTAAGTCTGCTACAAATGGGGACACTGGTGGACAAATTTTCATGGGAAGTGCTAAAAGAGAGTACAATAGTAGTGTTACAAAGAAAAGCAAGCAGTGGATCAAGTAGACTTAGAAGAAACATACCCTGTACTTTTATAAAGTGTGTAGGTCGGTCTGAATTACTTGATGCTTTTAGATATATCTCGGTCACAGTGGGCTTAACATAGTATTGCTGCCATTAGGAATGGTGTTATAGATGTGCCCAGGAACCCTGAGAATGATCCCATGGCCTGTTTTGGAGAGTGCTGTACATTCAAGAAGATGGAGACCCTACCTGGATGAGCTTATTGTAATTGAAGCATGATGCAAGTACTGGGTGTAACAGCTAAAGGGAGAATGGGGCACAGTAATGATAGGAAATTGTAGGTGGATAAACTGGTTATGATGTATGGGTAGCATGAATAAATGTAACAAAACAAAATATAGGAGCGAGAGCAAGAAGAGGAATATTTAACGCTGATTAAGTGGAATGACTGACTCATACAAAACGACAGTGTTGCATTCTCATTTCTATGGTGCTAAATAGTAACATATCAATAAACAGTCTTCCCTAGCACATACATGGGCATGGGCACAGCCTTTACATTTCCTCCCTCAAGTATGTGTCCAAAGAATCTTTTCCCATCATGAAAGATACCTCATGAGCATCAGTGCTTGTGAAGTTGCAAGCCCTCTTTTTGCTCCTTAGCACAGTCCTAAAATTCTG